TTGTTTTAGTTACTTACAAATAAAATTTATTGTAAATAAACAAGAGTGATTTCTTTAATTTATATGCTTACTTGAATATAATTATATTTATTAATATTCCTTTTCAATTATTTAATATATTTATTATTTTAAAATATATTAATAAACTTAAAATAAATAATAATATATAAATTAATTTGTATATATAATGTTCATTCCATGGAATGCGCGGTTCTTAATCTAGTTAACTCATTCATTTTTGCAATACAAGAAACGTCCACTGGGATGACTACCATGACATTTTTTCGGGTTGGAGACTATGACATTAGCTAAAACAATACTACTATAATATCCACACAAAAATTAAACATAGCTGAGATTTTGTTTATAATTGTTATATAACTAAAATACACATTTTAGATATACATTTACGTCATATATATAATAAATGCATATATTTGTATACTTTTCCAGGTATTTATCTCCTTAAGTGGAGTAATTCATTAATATTTAGGAAGACAGTTGTGGTACCACCCCACTCATGGCCGGAAAACAGCAGTACACTATCCTTATCTCAGTTAACTCCAATAAATAAAGATTAATTTTTGGGTTCATTTCTTTAGAGTGAACTTCTAGGTTCACTAACCAATAGAATTTCATTGTTTTATATTCAGTATCTTTTAAAAAAGGAAACAAAATATTATTACGTTATATTATGTTTTTAAAATAAAAAATAAAAAATAATAGTAGTTGCAAACAAAAAACTTTAAAAAAAATATTTTTAACACCATCAGCAAACACACTAAACCCTAAATCCTAAACCCTAAACCCTTGGATAGATCTTTGATTTTGTAAGAAATTATTTTTGATTCTGACAGTAAAACACTAAACCCTAAACTCTAAATCTTAAACCCTAAACTCTAAATCCTAAACCCTAAATCCTTAGGCAAACTCTAAACCCTTGGAATAATCATAAATCCTAGGGTTTAAGATAAATCCAAGGGTTGAGGATTTATCCAATGGTTTAGGATTTAGTGTTAGTAAAAATATTTTTTTTAAAAACGTTTTTTATCTGTAACTACTATTAGTTTTATTTATTTTTATCTTTTAATTTTAAAAACATAATATAACTCGATAATATTTTGTTTCCTTTTTTGAAAGATACTAAATATAAAACAAAGAATTTCTCATAAATAAATGAAACATTATAAAAACTAGATAAACTATCAATTTCATTTCCCAACAGATACCATTTCGAATTGATACGAAATACAAATTGAAGCTTCAAAAAATAAATGATTACTATTATTTTTTTGAAACAGAAAACTAAATGATTATTTCCTTCTAATTCTTCTCTCAAAATTGTTAATGTATAGAACGGAATCATCGAACACCTACCAAAATATTAAAAAGATTCATAAAACTCAAAATGTTTTATAATTTACTAGGACCGGCCCGGGCTACGCCCAGGTTTTTCGTTGAAATTTTAATTATATATGTTATTTTAATATATAAATATTATAATCTATTATAAAATATAAGTATTTAGACAATCATATAATTTTTTTAATTTTCTTTTTGTCTTTTGAATTTCAAAAATTTTAATATCCAAATTTTGTATGTCACAGAATATTAGTATGTGTATTGCGTAGAATTGTTGTGTATTGTGGCTCGTCTCGATTTTTGTTTCTTTATTTGTTGTATGTTATTATTTTATTTTCAATTTTTTGTAAAATATTATTTGGTTCTTTATTACTCATTTTTTATTTGAATATTTTTATAAATATTCTAAATTTGATCTTATTTACCTAAAATAGAAAGAAAATTTAGTGTGTGGATCTTTTTTTTTGGGTTTGATGAAATGTAAAGGATAACAATCTATATTATGATTAATTATTGCTCTATTTTCCATCACTTTTTAAATTATTTTTTCTAAAATTGAGTTTGGTAACCACTGAAAATATATTTTTAGTCTTTCCAAACATTATTTTTTGTTTAAGAATAATTTTGCATGACATGTGTCACTTTTTCCTCATTCCATTTAGTGACATAGCATTACTTACCTCGTTTTACAAAACTTTTTTTTTTTTTCGTTTTACAAAACTTAAAACAAACACTTGACAAAATTTACAGTTCACTTAGCTATTCACGTACATTTTTTTTTTTCATCGTCTCCCATATATGAATATCAAGTGGTGATCGAGTTTGAGTCATTCACGTATATTCTTATAATTTGAGTTGTTTCGTTTGCAATTTATGTGTTTTCTTTTACATGTGAATAAAGCTCAGAGAAATTTACAATGTTGAAATATTAAAATATTTAAGATTTGCTAAAGATATTTTACAAAAAAAAATGCAAAAAGCCTGAACACAAACAGAGTGAACTTACAATATTTGTTGTGTACATTAACAAATGAATTTTCCTTCAGATACTTATGGTTGTGGATTCATTTAGAATAGGTAAGTAACACTAAATCCATTTCTTTTTTAAAAAAGCAGATGCAAACGTTACGAAACCTTCAGTTTCATTTGAAACAATAATGAAAGAAGCATGTGTTTAAAGGAAACTTTGATAACAAATATAGATGTGATGGTGTTTCGATTTCCATGCATCTGCAACAGGTTGCCTCTGAACCAATTCATCTACGTTGTCGGTTGCTCCCAAGAGGTAACGCTATTTGCGCCACAGCCCAGAGGCACGATATTTGTTTTAGTTACATGAGACTTCTATATTAATATTTTATATCATATGTGCTTCCATGTGTTTTTTTTTGTAGGGTTATTATGCATTGTGGTGCTTGTCTTCACTTATATAACTTTTTTAGAAATAAAATTATTATTGTATAATTATTTATTAGAGTTTTTCCATGGGGCTCATCCAAATTGTATAACTATTTATCATGGGGCTAATCCAAATTGGATAACTATATACTTGAGTTTTTTTTTTCGAAGAAATTTATTTATTTGCTCTAATTTTAAAGAGCAAAAATGGTGTTGTGGCACCATTTAACTTCCTTTAAAAATATGTTGATGATTTATTTGTTACAATATCTATCATGTATGGTATTTTTTATATTATTTATCAAATTTTGTTACTTAAGAAAAATATATTATGATTAATTATTGCTCTATTTTCCATCACTTTTTAAATTATTTTTTCTAAAATTGAGTTTGGTAACCACTGAAAATTATTTGTAATAACTTTTTCGTTAGTTGAGTTTGATAAACTTAATATATATATCTTGTATACATTAGGATATTTACAGACGAAAAATTAATGTTTTATTTGTTATATCTTCTTATTTTATTTGTCAAACTGTTTTTTTTTTGTAAATTATTTGTTTTGATTATTTACTGAAGCTTCATAATCTTTCACTTAGTTATTCCTCTTGCAAAAAAAGATTGTATTTTCCTTCTACAATATTTGTTTTGCGCAGGAGAAACAAACCAATCATTTACAAACATTTAAGGAGAAAGTGAAGACACCCGATGTCCCATGCTTCTTTGATCTGATTAGCGTCAAGGGATGGAAAATAAAGTAAGCTTCAGTTTAAGGTTAAATATGAGTAAAGATAGTGAAGTAAAGCCATACCGTAGCGTTAGCATGAACAACCTTGATGTATAGATGGAACTGTTATTTCTCGTCCTTAGGTTCTGAAGCTTCTGACTCTTAGATGATGGAATGTGACCACTACACACGGAAAAGTGCATCCTGCATAATTAGAATGTAAGTAGAGTTGTTCTTATTTCTAAGCATGTAAATAAACAACTAAAAGGAAAGTACCTTATCTTCAGAATCAGATCCTAACAGAGTCCATAGCTTTCCCATCATCTGTGTATTCATTGGAATCATTAATTAAACTATCCAATGCATACACGATCTCTAAAATTTTAACCTATCCCCACCATAGAAGAAATAAGGCTTACCTTTTTAAGTGTAGCACAAATCATGTAAAACAATAGTTTCTTTCAGGGTACGAAACTTGACAAACCCACAACCTCTCAAACAAATATGTCATGGTAGTAGCTCCAGAGATTCTTCCTCTATTGTCGTACTGAATCAACACCAAATTACTAAAACAACTGCGATGTAGGATATGCCTAAGTATCTTAAATATAGGTTCAAGGGAGTACAATTAAAAAGGGGAAAATTAATAAACTCGAGACTTACTCCACCTTGAAGTATTCTTTCTTGCGGTTTTTGCATTGCCAAAAGCATTTAAATGAGATTTACGAACATAAATCACTCTCAACATGAGTTTAAGAACAGATTTACCTGTGAATCCAGTAACATCATATCAAGAGACATCAGTTCCCCACCACGTTTGACATTCCTGGCTTCCCAGAATCTGAGCAACCCACTTGAACGGTAGAGGAGCGACGACCAGCCTTTATATCAGAAATGAGGATTGATGAGTTAGCCATTTCACAGAGATTAGATTTAGTGTTTTCACAGATTGAGGATGATGTTGAAGTGAAAAAATCTAATTTTTTTATAGGTGTAGAATAAATCGATAACTCACAATCAATGTTGCTTCACATCGGTTTATGGAGTTACGAAGGCGATAATGGGCGATGAACCTTTAACACGGACGGTTTCAGTTGAGCAGAGTAGAAGTCTAAACGTGTCAAGTGAAGACAAACACATAGACTTCATCTCGATTCGAGTCATCTAATCTCTCTAGACGCCATTGAAAGTATGAGAGAATGCATAAGAAATCTCTAACGGATCAGACATCGATGAAGAACAGGAACCCTAGATGAGGGTGGCTGTCAAGATGACGAAAGGGACTCTCCTTTTTGGGCTCTAATTAGACATAAAGCCCACTGATTATTCTTTCTTCCGTAAATGAAACGCAGAATTATAGAGAAGATACAGGTGGCACTCGCAGGTTGCATCAATTGATGACGTGGAGGAGCCTTGAGAGAGTGAACATTTCTTTATATATATAGATTAATTGCCAATTGGTAAAACAGGTACATATTTGCGAAACTATATGAATATTGAGAGCGTTTACCTATCTTAATCCACAATTAAACTTCAGATAACATGATGCAACATTCAGTCCTTTCCGGACCAAAGTGAGATCTAATCTCTTATCTCTCACTAAAAGACAAAAACAATCACGAGAACATACACCTCTTTCCCTTGTTCAAAATCTAATCCTTGTCCATGGAAGACTCTCCTCTCTTCTCCTCAGATCTCTCCTAAAATCCACTTACACACACAAAACAAAAGCTATGTCTTACCTTCTCCGCTCCGATCCCGTCTCTCGGATCCACCCGGAGCCTCAGCCCTCACACGACACCGACCACTTCGACCATCTCCCCGACTCCCTCCTCCTCCTCATCTTCGACAAAGTCGCCGACGTCAAAGATCTCGGCCGCTGCTCCACCGTCTCCCGCAGATTCCACTCCCTCGTCCCTTTCGTCGAGAACGTCCTCGTCCGCGTCGACTGCGTCATCTCCGACGACGATCCCAACTCCTCCTCCTCCGACGACGATCGTCGCTTCTCTCTAAACACCGCGTCGATCTCCGACGCCTCCGCCGGCGGCTCCTTCTCCGCCTTGTTCCGCCTCGTCTTCGCTCCGATCTTCAAGCCATTCCAAGCGCTCGGGCAGTTCCTAGGACCGAGACGGTCATCGTCCCTCGACGATGAGGCTGATCAGAGCGGTGACGTCACGCACCACTCTCCCACGCAGGTTTTGAAAAACTTCGCTGAGATTCGGTTTCTGAGGATCGAACTCCCGACGGGGGAGTTAGGGATCGAAGACGGTATCTTGCTCAAGTGGAGAGCTGACTTCGGATCCACGCTTGACAACTGCATGATCCTCGGCGCGTCTTCCGTGACGTCAGATCTCGAGAGTCCTCTTCTTGATGACCAAGAAGACAATGGTAACATACCTGAGTCGTTTTACACCAACGGGGGACTTAAGCTCCGTGTTGTCTGGACCATCAGCTCCTTAATCGCTGCTTCTGCTCGCCATTACCTTCTTCAACCCATTATAACCGAGCACAAGACGTTAGATCGTCTTGTTCTGTCTGATGCCGACGGGCAAGGTGTCCTGTCTATGAATAGGGAACAGCTTGAAGAGCTTAGGGTGACTCCTCTGTCGGCTTCTTCTGCTTCGAAGAGGACGCTTGTGCCGGCTTTGAATATGAGGCTGTGGTATGCGCCGCAGTTGGATTTGCCTGATGGTACGGTTCTGAAAGGTGCGACGTTGGTGGCTATTAGGCCGAGCGAGTCGAAGAAGGAGGTGTGTGATGCTTCTTGGTTGTCTGATGCGTTTGAGGAACCCTTTGGGACCGCGGCGAGGATGTTGATTAAGAGGAGAACTTATTGTCTGGAGATGAACTCCTTTTGATTTGGGCACTATGACGGTTTCAGGTATAACACGTTGTGGTATTAACAATTATCTGAATACAAATAGATTTGATACAATAACTAGTCTAAGAGGTTATATATTTTGTATATCTTCATGTTCTTTGAATTGTTTTCATTTCGGTGATCGTGTTTACTTGCAATATATTATCTGCAAGAACTTGGTTTCTTATCATATAAACTTTGTCCTAACTATTTTACCCAAAATGTCGTTCATGTGTTGTCAAATTGAAAATTAAAAACTTGTATTGAGTGATTGCACATGGAGAAGGTGTTAACATTGTTTATCAATGACGTTCCAGATAGAGAGAGCAAGCAAAGCCACATATATTGGAGAATGAAGGGAAGAAATAGAAAGATCACAAATGTACTAAATTGCAACAACTCTCTCTGGCTTTTGATGCAAAGGAGTTTCCAATCGTAACTACAAGTGATGCAGGATTAAGGAGTTTCTTGTGAAACTGAAGTACGCAATTGTATATAAACCCCTTGTAAAAGAAGAATGTGAATGAGCAAGAACATGTGTTTTGTGGTCTGTGTTTAAAGGCTTTAAAGGACATGTTAGGATGGGAAGGACTTACGTTACATAAGAGTTTGTAATAAATTATTTACAGCTTTATTTCGATGTTTTTTTTTGCTTATCATCTCCCTCTGTTTTGATCTATGCACTCGTTTGATTTTGTGGTTTGCATATAAAATTTCGTAAACCGTATCACTCATTTCTAAACTGAACCATAACACTCCTGCTTCCGGAAAATGTAACCTAGATGTTCCTTACCATGTAGTCAACAGAAGAGGATGACTAGACAGACGTTGGTCAGTTTCAAAAAAAAAAAAAAAACAGACGTTGGTCTCAGTTTTAGGAAAATTACACGACAAAAAAATGAAAAAAAAAAAAACAGAAAGATGCATATATTTGAGATAATTAAAAAAAAAAAACATTTTCATTACATTAACACATTTTCTCATCAAACAACAACACAGGCTTATGATAAAGATGGGAGATCAAAAGATAAGGTTGGTGCTGCACATACATCGTCTTTCGTCAATTCCTTCCCCTGCACTTTTAATTTCAAGAAACATTTTACAGATCAGCTATGGTAAAGGTATATAAGCACCAATCAAGCTGTTAAAAACACCATATGAATCTAAAACAACTGAAGTCTGCAAGTAATGTATAAGCATTGGAGCGTAACCATTATATTCGGCCTTCACACAAAACAGTGAGTCTATATGGAACTCATTATGTTCAGCATAACATCTACGGAAACTCATTTCTTCAGCATGACAATTCCTTATTGCTAATGAAACTCCAACCTCGGTGAGTCTGTAATCTGTACTATGTTGATGAAAGTCTTATTGTGTATATATATATAAAGCAGCTTTAGTTCAGTGCTCGTCGTTCAAAAAAAAAAAAAAAGGTTCAGTGCTCATAACCTCAAACCAAAAAGTACGCAAAAATTTAAGAAGAGATTAATAAACTAAGCTCCATTAGTTTGCTAATATGTTCATGTTGGCTAAGGCTAAAAATCAATTCAGGATCCAGCTTAAGAGAAACTCAATAATTCAAAGTTAAAATGTGTTCTATGTGATGTACTGTAAAAGAGATCTAAAACGTGAGTGATGGCTCCGAAGTAAAAGGGGAGAGATCATGGGACAGCAATGAAGAGATGGGTAAGATTCCGACACACAGCATGTGGTGCCATTTCAGGAGGCCAAAGTTAAAAATTAAAGAAAAAAAAACAATTTTCACAATTTGCAATTTACCAGGCACAAACTTCCCATCTTTTGTCTAGAATTAAATATTTATAAAGGACAAAAGCCTCTTTGATTCTTTCACAAACAAAGTCTCTATCAAAAAAATTGATTCTTCCATACCAATATTAAATGTCAACTAACTACTTTTTATCCAAAACAGTTCAACTCACTTACATCTTTTCCAACCTAAAATATTGTTCTGTAAAGATTCCTAAACGCAGAACTAGTACTAATATCTTATTAACTCAACCAAGACCATGAGATTAATTTTTTTTTTGTGTGTGTGTGTGTGTATGATATGAGTGAAATAAGTACATAAAAAGCAACAGTCAGTAAAATAGGATTCAGTTTGATTAAATTAGTTGTCACCACAATACGTGGTGAAGCAAGAAAGTACAACAAGTGGAACAAAAGTGATGCTGAGGAAGAAGGGAACCCAACATAGAACAGATGAGGAGACCACACAGACTATGAAAGCCCTCTTTTCAAATTCATCCACATGCCCTTAGATAAACAATCTTAAAAAGAGTCCTTACTTCAAGACACAAAATGTTATAAAAATATGAAACCATTTTAAAAAAAATAATCAAGATAAGACTCACTCAATGCCACCCACGCCCCAATAAACCATCTTTCTTTAACGAAATCAAGAAACCAAAGTGTATGACAATGCAAACAACATGGTACTATCACTAATTAAATCAATAATGATCTAAAATAGATAGAAGTACTAACCAAGATAGAATTAACGAAGCTTTTCTTTACTATCATCTCCCATCCTTCCCTTTCTCGTCAGAGCTCCGGTTTCCTTCACCGTAATAGAGATATAACCGGCCGTCGAAAGTAGCCGGAAGCTGGTGGTCAAGAGGAGGAGGAGGTGTAGCCATGAAAGATATGGGTCTTTGATTTACGTTGTTGTTGAGGAAGAGAGAGTGTGAATTGGACTGAAGGGTCCCCCTACTAGTGTAGCAGCCTCCGTTAACGGCGGCTGCTCCGGGAGAATCAGAAGAAGAGATTCCAAAGTTGTAATCCGGTACAAACGAGAAATGATTCTGATGATGACTCAACGTCGACGGCTCTTGACGATGATTACTGTTGTTGAATGGATGTAGAGAGGAGGAGGACGGGCTCGGTAATAGCTGAACCGGGTTAAAGCAATCAGAAGAAGAACCACCGATCCAATTCCGGTTTGGTTCGTCAAACCCGCCGGTTAGAAGCTGAGTGAAGGAGCTTTGCAAATCTTTGTCTTTCTCTTTGGCTGTTCTCTCTCTAGCTCTCTCTCGCGCCTTCCCACGGCTCTCTGTCCTCGACAAAGACAGCAACGAGCTCTCAGATGTGCCGCTGCTGCAAGCGGATTTAGACAGCGAAAGCGCCTGGTCGAAGCTTGTGTTGATCGGAGGTAGCTCGGAGATTGAGTCGGAAGCTGCGTTGATTAGCCATTCCACGGCTTTGCTCGGCTGGTCGAAGCCAAGACGGTCTTGGAGATCGTAGAACTGGATTGCTGTTGCGACGGAGAGACGTATTCTCCGGTCTCTTAACCCTTTCGAGGTCAAGACTTTGCTGTGTCGGTCTTTGCCACCGGATGCTCGAGAAACCCTAATGATTCTTGAAGATGGGTTGTTCCAGTCTCTCATTCCGGTTTTGTCGTTGTTGTTGTCGGAGGAGATTCTCTGTAGCTTTCTGCTTGTTTGTTGTTGTTGTTGTTCTTGTGTCTCAATGTCCTCGTCGACCTCCATTGAAACGCTACTCTCATGCTTTTCCGGTTTAGCTCAAAGCTCAAAGGATCCACCGGCGTGAGACAATGGTGTCAGGTCAAGACAGCTATGATCTAATTAAGCTATTCACTACTTTCTCTCTCTCTCTCACTTTCTTTGGTGTCTGAAGCTAGACAGTTGCAGAGGCTATGATGATAGACCAAAAAAAAGCCTGAGTATGTTGCAGTGATGACTTTGCTGAATCTGTAAAAAGATAAGAGGAAGAAGATAATTAAAGTCACTATTACTGAAAATGCTGAAAGTATATATATATATTTTTATTAAAACCAGCAAATTAAATTGAATACCTATATATCTGTAGATCTGAAATCTATCTGTTAATATCCATGTTCATAGCATATAGCTTCATAGCTCAAGAGCCTTTTCAGAAACCCTAGATTATTATTGATTTTTTTTCCTTTTTTACAAAAAAACCTATACTTATAGGGATTTCTATAAGCTTTGGTCAATAGTTTTAGCAGAATAAAAATACCAGTTGAAAAACAAGAGAGAGATTTTTTAGCTGAAGAAGACGAAAGGCTAATTATTTATGTTCTTGAAGTTACAAGGTTTGCCCTAATAATGCAAGTTGCAAAACAATCACAGAAATTAATATGATAGATAAATTAAAGAAAGCATAGATTTAATTTTAAATAAATGCCATTAATCCTAAAAAAACAAAGAGAGAAAACGAGTTTGCCTCAAAAATCACCAACAAAAGAAACTCACTTGGATAACAGGTGTCAACTGTCGAAGCTCACTGTAGAACAATGGCGGCAAAGAAATAAAATGAGTTTTCTTCAGATTCTTTTCATGAGCTTATCATCTATCTCTTGCTGTTATTCTCAAATCTCAACCTTAGATCTCATCACCATACTTCTAGTGTTAAAAAGATCCACAGATCTGAAAATAATCATTTCAAAAAGGGTCATAATATATAACATCAAATATTCTTTCCAGTGGGTGTTTGAGGTAAGTGTTTAAAGATTTTTTTTCTTCTTTTTTCCAGGAAAATGAGCCAAGAAAATGAAAGAAAAGTGGGAAAAGATTGGAATTGGAGGGAGACGCTAGAGAGAGAAAGTATTATTACCTGTTAGAGAAAAATATCCACAGTAGCATTCGGACAAAGGAAGGCGAGTGCACCGTTCAGACTATTTAGTACTTTCCTTATGCTGTTTTCTCCTTTTTACCCTTCTTTGTTTTATCATTTTGCAGATCTACCACTCATTGTTTACAATTGGGATATGAAATATTCCTCTATTAGTTCAATTGTGAGGTATGTATACTGTAATTGTGTAGGGTCGTTATAAAATCTGATTAGAAAATAGCTAGGAATATATAAGAACATAGGTATATTCTCGTTGTTTGTGTTCTTGTAGAAGAAAGAAAAATAGGGAAAGGCAATATTGTATCTCATAATTTGTTAAGCTAATGTTCATAAGAAGTCTAAAACGGGTAGTTAATTACACTATACATTTGCTACATATACTAATGAATAGTTTATCCACTTGGAGCAAAGATTGTTATATCCATTAAACGTTTTGGAGTTTTGTTAATTTGCAAGTCAAAAAATGTTCAAACATACAATGTCAGTTCGATTCACTTAACCCTGGGTTAAAGAAACAAAATGAAAAAGCTAATAAACAGTGTTTAGGTCGCTTGCACTCATCCGAAGCTGTGAAAACGCTGGCCAATATGTGGGGTTGACAAAACATATCTTCGTCAGCTCTTAACAATATCAATATGGAAAGTTACCGATAACTCACGGTGCTCAAACATACACTAGCGCTTTCAGTTTTAAATGCACAGGAGAAAGACTTCGTCTTTGAATTGTGGCTACCTGAGGTACACTTATGCTTAAGTACCATAGATGCAAATATCTAGTGAAATTATACACTTAAGTTTCTACATTCACTACTTTTGCTAGCTCCGGTCGAATAAATATTGTGTATGTGTTTTTGCTAAGGCATCAACTGATAGTTACATCTCATACGAGTACGAAGTTACAAACCCACTTTGGGTTAACTAATCAAATACATTCCCTTTTAGGGTAATGTTACGTTCTTACATAAATAATTACATGTCTTTAATGATGTGGATAATCTAGACATATATATAAATATTAGTGTGGCTTCCATTATAAATAATGGGTTATAAGAAGACCAAGCAAATAGAAGGTGATATTTGGGTTCCGGTGTGGTTAACAGAGCTGACGACGGGCTCGAGATTGTGATGCACGTGTCGCTGTCCAAAGTCATTTATTGATGCACATTCAGAACTTCTCACATGTTTTACTCTGTATCTCTATATCTTGATGTATTTTCGAAAGTATAATAATATATAAACTTAATTGCATTGGTTTGTTTTTACAAGTTAACAATATGAAATAAATAAATGGTTTAGTTGGCCGTATTTGAATTTGTTGTATTATTCTAACGCAAAGAGAGCAAAAGACCAAATGGAATTTGGAATTACTCAAGTTCAAGTACAAATTTGTTATCTTCATTTACACTTGTACTTGTAAGCTTCATGCTCAACAGCTAAAGGCTCAAGATTTTATTTAAATGATTTATTTTCAATAACTTGGAACATACTATGACCATAATAAGACAGTGTGTGTTTTTATCGTGTGTCCGTATGTATACATATATGTACTCATAATTAGTTGGTCTTGGTCTTGTCAATATGATTTTGGTGAGATTTCAATGGTATGGTAAGAAATAGCTCATATGACCTTTTTAATAACTTGATTCACTCGGAAATCACTGGCTACAGGATGTGTCTTTCTTTGTATTACGAAGGTTTTAGCCTTGCACACTTGAATATGGACTCGTGTAATACTTGTTTCTATCATATCATGGTATGTTTGTTAAATGTTTCTCTTTCTTAACAATTCATATCCAAATCTATACTATTATTTGCGAAGTGATTTTTCGAAACGGAACTCTCACGTTAAAAGTTAGAGCGGTTAATATCTATTTTACCCTTAATAAAATTTTAATATATAACTAATTTTATAATTAAAAACGAAATTAAAAAAATAAAATTAGATAAATATGTTATTATCTTAGATAATAAAAAATAATTAAAGAAAATCAAAAATAAGATAATTCTTATATATGTTATTATTATCTGAATAAATTATTGTAACAACATGATAATGCTTATATATCTTAGTTTTATATATAATTGATTTTGGCTTCTGAAAGTAATATCATTTTATTATAAAATTTTAAAATTAAAATATAAAAATCGAATTTAATTAAATATTAATCAAACAAAAACAGTTGTATAAAGATACTTTTAATTATATAATTAAATATTAAGTATTAAAAATTGGAACTTTTCAAGTTAATGTACCTTTAATGAAATTTATATATTTATATATAAATTAGTTAAAAACGAATTTTATGTTAGTGATATAAATTTATATGTTGTTATATTAGTTAATTTATTATAAATTAATAGGATAGTTATCCACATTCATGAATATTTAAAACATAAAATATCTTATAGAATATTATAGAGGTATATGAAAATATTTTTTTATTATGAAAAATAAAAATGTATGTTATAAAAAAATTTATAATTAAATACTAAGAAAAAATATAAATATATTTTCAAATATATTTTGTTATGTGGATGTTTCTCAACACTATAATAAACATATATATTTTGATTAAAATTCATATAAAAGTATTTTAATGTTTGATTTAGGTTTTTTAAAATTATAAAAAATAACTTATAATATTATTTTAAAATATATAAAACAAAATAATAAATATTCGTAATCAACTTATGCCCGCATATGCAGGCACAACACCTAGTTTTGATGTATATAAATCTGGTTTTGTATGATTCCATGCATAGTGAAACTTTGACCTCGACTAGGGTTGGTCCTAGCTCCAACGTCATAGGTTATGAAATATTAGGATCTTTGAAAAATTTAAAAGTAATATACAAAAAGTAACATAATAGAACTATAGACTTTTAAAATTGCTAAAACCAAAATTTTATTAAATTGCTTACAACCTCAAAAATTTAAGGTCCAATACGAACTTAAACTAATAGGAAAATATATTTGAATAGCTCATGGAGAAAATGTTCATTCTCTTCTTTTTTTTTTGTATCTAGTCTCATGGCATGGTGGGAGAGCTGGGGATCTCTGTTTCCAAATCGGTTTACTCGAACGTGTCTTAGAAACCCAAAGTTCACTCCAAACTTCAGCTAGCAAACGCTGATACTAGCGTCAGTGATCAAAATTAAAGCATAGAATTGAAGAAACAATATCTGGATTTAGCCGCAGCATTAGTTTAAAAGTTTCAGATGTAACAGAATTGCAGAAGTTGGTGGGACGCCAGGATTAATAGCGTCACCGTTTCAGAAATCTGGAGTCAATTTTTTAAACGCAAGCGTTTCTTTTCTCTCAGTTGTCTTATATTTTGCCACCATCTCTGTTTATTTATAATCTCTAGTCGTTGACGCTGCCCCATTGCTTTAAGTATGCGAAGTTAAAGTCATGAAGACACCAAAATTCAAAGCTTCTCTATATTTTGGAGAATGATCTAATTTGTATTATGTGCAATCCAATGAAGGTCCCACTACTATTTTGTTTAGAGCTCTACTATAAATTAAAGATAGGATCCTTCAAGTTTTTTTTTTTTTTTTTGAGCAAAAGCATCCTTATCAATGATATTTTGAAGGAATAGAAAAGCACAACTTATGTCAGAGAGGCATAGGCCACATATTTAGAGAGTAGTATCGCCGAAAATATTTTTTTCTTGGAGCCACAAATTTGTTCAATAAACCCCATCCTCTATCTCGTTCGTTACATATATAAGGTCTAAACGATAACATAGGAAACAAAGGGGAATAACCAATTCCTACTTATTCTACCATTCATAAGGAATATTTCCTACGCATGATTTCTTGTCATTCTTTGAACTAGTTGCATACTCCCCGCGCAAGCACGGAGCCGAGATCATTATGTTTGCGTGTATTTTTATCGATTGTTGGTTTAGTGGATTCTTCTAATGACACCAAATAATAATGAAATGGGAAATTTCATGTTTTTATATCGTATGTCAAAACTTGATATAATTCTATATTTATAGTATTTATAGTTGTATTAAACGATTTATCAATTTGAAAATAACCTTAATTAAGTTAATATTCGTTGTTTAAGTTTCATTAGATAGGTTTTTATATATGGTTTTTTGTAAGTTTGAGTTTTGTTCATAAATGATGTGACATTTTTATCTACGGAGTCATCGACTGTGGGAATCCATTCGCCAAAGTCTGGAGTCGGTGGTGAGAAATGTTTTCAATGAAATTATAGTAGTTATTAAAATATAAGAGAAATTACATATTCATTTAATAAATAACGAAAAATACTTAAATTTTGTTGTTTATTTTATTTTATTTCACATACAATTTTTTTGAAAAATATTAGGAATGTGTTAAATATTATATATATGCGAAGTAAGGTTTATATGAATAGTTAGGCTATATTGTAGTTTTTAGTGTGTAAAAGTAGGTGTTTTTTTTGCTGTAAATAGTTTTTATATCATAGATCAAAACTTGATATAATTCTATATTTATAGTATTTATATTTGTATTAAACGATTTATCAATTTGAAAATAACCTTAATTAAGTTAATATTCGTTGTTTAAGTTTCATTAGATAGGTTTTTATATATGGTTTGTTGTAAGTTTGAGTTTTGTTCATAAATGATGTGGCATTTTTATCTATGGCGTCATTGACTGTGGGAATCCATTCGCCGGAGCCTGAAATCGGTGGTGAGGAATGTTTTCAATGAAATTATAGTAGTTATTAAAATGTAAGAGAAATTACATATTCATTTAATAAATAACGAAAATAATTAATTTTTGTTGTTTTTTTATTTTATCTCACATACAAATTTTTTGAAAATATATATTAGGAAATATGTGCAATGATTTAACTTTTTGAGCTCATAATCTATATTATTCAATCCTCATTACGCCATCCACGTAGGCACCCGCGTAGAATTCACTTTTTTTTTGGTCTGTTCGTTTTTGGATTTATTTTTTATTATTTTTGGGTTGAACTATATTATAATAAGATAGTTTTAAAGTTCTTTAAGCCACCCGCGTAGGTAACCGCGTGAGACTTGCTTTTTTTGGTTTTTTTTATTGTTCGTTTTTGATTCATTTTTAACTATTTTGGGTTTGAACTTGTTAAGATTTAGGATTTATCCAACTATTTTGATCTTTAAAACAATAAGTAAAAAAAAAAACATAAAAACCTTATAAACAAAAAGTCCATATGATAATAACCCAAATTAAAAAATCAAATATACATGATAGCTACGTGGTTTGAACCCACGATCTTGCATACTTAATTAGATACCTTATATCACTTGGCTAAAGTGTATTTCATTGTTTGTGATCATCTTACTAAGACTATGAGTGTTTAAAAATTATCTACAGGACCCACAAAACTGCTGACGTAGTGCGTTGTGGAGCCTAGAAACTCTACTATTATTATATAGATAGATTCTAAGGAATTATAGAACAAAAACATTCCTTATCAAAATTGTTATGGGACCAAACTAATAAATATTCTTTTTCATTCCTTTTATTTTGTTACTACTTATTATTTTCCTACTTATTCCTATTCATATTTTAATGGTCAACAGTTAGAGCCATACTATACATAATATATATATATATATATATATATATATATATATATATATAAATGTTATAGTATCCAAATTAGTTATGTGCCCACATAAATTTGTATGTCCACCACTGTTGCCCAAATCAGGCCCATTACAAGAAAAACCCTAGAGACTAAAATACATATATATATATATATATATATATAAATGTTATAGTATCCAAATTAGTTATGTGCCCACATAAATTTGTATGTCCACCACTGTTGCCCAAATCAGGCCCATTACAAGAAAAACCCTAGAGACTAAAATACATAAACTCCATTAGCACCACAATTTCTCCTTCTCGCCTCCGTCGATCATCCTCAACTCTCCTTGTAACTCAGGTTTGTTCATCTCTCTACCTCTTCAGTTATATCAGTCACACCTGTTAGGTTTTGTCTCGATCTGAAAGTATATATGTCACGGTCCAGTAGTATTCGAACATAACCTTGTTGTCTTAGTGAATCGATGATTCGTGTTATTGTATATCAATATAAAGTTCCGTTTTTTTTTATGGGCTGAGTGATTGTGGGGTTTAAGTAGCTGATCTGTATGTGATCTGATTTATATTCAGTGAAAAAAAGTTCGAGCGTTAGAGAATAATGGCTGCCTTCCCCAACCCTAGCTCTGACGCTGGATTGAAGAAGCTCGATGAGCATCTTCTCACTCGCAGTTACATCACTGGGTATGTTGTGAACGTCTCTAATAATAAGATCTGATCTTAAAGTCTCTACCTTTTTGGAACTATAAGAGTAACAATTTGTTTCCTTTTTAGATACCAGGCTTCCAAGGATGATATCACTGTCTTTGCTGCCCTTGCAAAGCCACCAACCTCACAGTATGTGAACGCTTCTCGTTGGTACAACCACATCGATGCCCTCTTGAGGATCTCGTAAGTTTCATCCTTGTTTCCCACTTTTTGTGATCAAGTTTTCTTGTTTGGACTTGTCTGATGTTTGTGTCTCTGGTTACAGAGGCGTTTCTGCTCAAGGAAGTGGTGTCATTGTCGAGGGATTGGCCCCGGTTGCAGAGGAGGCTGCTGCTACTCCCCCTACAGCTGACTCTAAGGTACTGAAGACTGTTTTCTGTTCTGTCTCATAATGTTCTCTACTGATTGTAAATCAGTTAGCCTAATGGACATGTGTAACTGTAGGATGCTGCTGATGAAGAGGATGATGATGATGTTGACCTTTTCGGAGAGGAGACCGAGGAGGAGAAGAAGGCTGCTGAAGAGAGGGCTGCTTCTGTTAAAGCATCCACAAAGAAGAAGGAATGTAAGTTTGGTTTTGTCTTTACACTTTTGACTTAGTTACATAAGATGAATTTGTCTTGGATTCTAATTGGTTTATGTTTTTTTGAAACATGTCTTGGATTCTAATTGGTTTATGTTTTTTCTTTATCAGCTGGAAAGTCATCAGTTTTGATTGATATCAAGCCTTGGGATGATGAGACTGACATGAAGAAGCTAGAGGAAGCTGTGAGATCAATCCAGATGGAAGGGTTATTCTGGGGAGCATCAAAGTTTGTCCCGGTTGGTTATGGTATCAAGAAGTTGCAGATCATGTGCACCATTGTTGACGACCTTGTGTCTGTTGACACTATGATTGAGGAGCAGCTCACCGTCGAACCTATCAATGAGTTTGTTCAGAGTTGCGACATTGTTGCGTTCAACAAAATCTGTGAGTTTCATGAATCCTTACCTTCAATTCCTTGAAAGCTTGTGTTTATTTGGCAAGATTTGTAACTCATTGTTGAATCTTAATGCAGGAGGATGGCTTTTGTGCTTTAAGGAAGCTCTCATGCAATCTGATTATTGTTTCCAAGTTTCTTGTGGACTCATGTTTTTGATTTTGCTATTGTTTGCCGTGTCTCCCGTTTACTTTTGATATTTATGAAGACGACAATTTTTATTATTTGCTTGTAGTTTCTACTTACCAACAAATATCAAATGGGTTGACATTACTAAATTAGATAGATATCCACGACAAGGAAATAAATTTGGTTATTTCATACTTCAAAAATTGTTTTTAGTTTCTACTTGCCAACAAATATCAAATGGGTTGACATTAATAAATTAGATACATATCCACGACAAGGAAATAAATTTGGTTATTTCATACTTCAAAAATTGTTTTATAAATCTTTCTCAACAAAAAAAAAAAGATGTTGCTAACACGACATTTTCGAACACCGTAGTGTGCACACAGCTTTGACCAGATCATCTCTAGAAAGACGTAGTAGTGATCTGAGGAGTAGCTTGAATATTATAAAAAAAACTCTGAAGGGTTGTTCAAATTTGTCATGGTACCTTGTTTTCTGTAAGAATGATTCCAATGTCAGTAAATAAGATAATAAGAGAATTTCACTTATAACACTTTCGTGGTACCACTTTTCATTTTTACCATCAACAAAGGAACATTTTCAAAAATACACATTTCATTAAAGGATAAAGACTCTTGTACCCTTATTCTTTATATATTATATAAAATAAATAAAAAAAACAAAAACATCAATACTAAACTCTAAACCTTAAAACATCAATTCTAAACCCTAAACCCTAAAATATTAACCCTAAAACATCAATTCTAAACCTTAAACCCTAAAATCAACCCTAAACCCTAAAATATCAATTATAACCCTAAACCCTAAACCTTAAACGCTGAACCCTAAAAAATCAACACTAAACCCTAAAATATCAATTCTAAACCCTAAACCCTAAACTCTAAACCCTAAATCCTAAACCCTAAACTCGAAATCCTAAACCCTAAATTCTAAACCCTAAACTCGAAATCCTAAACCCTAAATTCTAAACCCTAAACCTTAAACTCGAAATCATAAACCCTAAATTTTAAACCCTAAACTTGAAATCCTAAATACTAAATTCTAAACCCTAAACCCTAAATTCTTAACCCTAAATCCTAAATTCTTAACCTTAAATCCTAAATTCTAAACTCTAAACCCTAATCTATCAAAACTTTATTAAAATTGTTAAGTTTAATTTGTTAAGGATATAATAGTATTTTGCGTATTAAAATAAAACAATCTAGATTGTTAAGGTTGTAGAACAATCTAGATAATTAAGATAAAATAATCTATATATTATGTAAGAATAATCTAGATTTACGATTAAAATATGTAAGATAATTTGTATTTTGGTAGCTATAAATACCTCCACTCTCTTTCATTTTATATTATCTAAGTTTGTAAGAATCATCAAAGTAATAAGAAGTACTCTTAAGTAAATTAAAGTTTTCTTCTTCATACAAAATATTTTCTTTTCAAACACTTAAAACACTTTTTTCCATTTTTACTAATGTTTTCATTCCAACAGGTTACTTTAGTGGTGGTGGTCCGGCGAGGAAGATGACTTTTAGGTTTATTGTTTTAGATTTATGTTTTTCTTTTTTAATTTGGGTTTGTTTTGCAAACCAATTTTAATTTATATATTTTGTAAACCAATTCAATATATACACATTTTATAAAATAAATAAATAAAAAGTTGCAAAAATATATGAAACCGTTGACAAAAAAGTAAAGTAGTTTTTTGGTGCATGATAAAATACATCTATATGTATCTGAACCTTATATGAAATTACACAATATAGTTTTCCTAATGTTTGCAAAATGTAGCTTTCGAAATGACCTAACAAATGTTATTATAGTTGTTTAAATAGAATTGTCCGTTTGTTGTAATATTCAAAAAAAGAAGAAAAAAGTGTCCGTTTGTTTATGTAAATTATTAGATAGGAGAAAAGTGATGATGGTTCGATTGTGACTGTAAATATTTAGCTGTAAATAAATTGGTTGTAGATGCAAAATTGTTACTATAGATTTTTTCGCAGAAATTTCGATGTAATTAAATTTGTTGTAGCTGTAAACTATAGGCTGTAAACATTTCAAATAAAATATGTGAAATATGTTAAGTATATATAAAATAATTATTTTTGTATCAACCAAAATATTTTTTTCAACATTTTTAATAAATTATCAAATTTATTGTTATTTAAAATCTGATATGTAAATAATATTTGTTATTTAAAATATTTCAATAATTTTAAAATACCAAAACTGTGTTAAATGTTTATAGATATTTTTATTATGATTATCTAATTTATTTGATATTTTAGATTTTCATTTTACAATTTATACAGCATATAAAACAATGATATAGAGATTTTACCTAAAATACATAAGAAAAACATTACTTTATTTTTTTCTGTAGTTTTAAAAATAAAACTAAAGCATGGTTGGTAAAAGTTAATATAAATTTGTTGTAGGCTTTAATTTTCAAAAATAAAACTACAAAATGATTGATAAAAATTTAGTGATTTAAAATTAAAAATAAAGCTAAAGTAAGAAGATAAAGTCCAACCAATCATCCACAAAGTAATTTGGAAGTAATTCTTCTACTTAAAAGGTTTTGGAAAAGTCAGAATATAATTCATAAGAAATTAATTTATATTTGGTCAAAAAAAAATAGTTTAGATTTGTAATTGTAACAAAACATTAAAAAATGGTTGAATTTATAAAATTGTTAGGATACTGTGAGGGGTGTACATAATCTTTTAGATTTGGTAAAAAATACAGTATTTATCTGCATATATAGATTATTAAATGGAAGTACATAATAACATAAAAATAAATTAACGTATTTATAATATTCAAAAGGGCACATGGAAACATTTTTTTATATTCTCTTTGTAAACTGTTTAACTGCTAAGTAACTTCATTAAGAAACTCTATGTACTAATATAATACTTCTCTATAAAACTAATTCATCAAAATCGTATAAACCATAATTAATAAAAAGTTCTTAACAAAGCTTAAAATATATCAGACACGTGATTAGAACTTATAAATATAATGTCGCAAAGACATATGAACACAATTTGTAGCTCTAATATATAACAATAAGGAACAACTAAAATTTTCAAATTTATTAATTATAATATATATATATATATATATATAACAAAATCACAATTTATAAATATAAACGCTTTTATAAATATAAACGCAACATCCCGCGCTTAAGCCCGGGTTAGAATCTAGTTTAAAATTTAAGTTACAAACTTACAACCATTGTACAGTAGATAAATATAGGTTTAGTTGTACAAGAATTTCCTTCGTAAAGATTTCCTTTTTGCATGTATTAGAACTTTTGTATAAATACCTTTCTCTAGAGGTCAAGAGAAACAACACAACAACATTATTATTACTTTTGATCGATTTTACACTTTCTATCTCAGGTTTGTTCTTGTTCTTCTTCCTCAGTTTATTCCGTTAGATACATCGCTCTTGTTGATTTGGAACCCTAGATCAAGGGGTCTTCTTCGATCCTTATCTTCAGTGATGTCCTAGTAACTTGTTTTTATGTATAGTTAAGGTTTTAGTAGTTGATATGTTTTGTTCTGCTTTATATATATCAGTGAAAAGGTTTGCGATTCAGAAATAATGGCGGCTATCCCCCCCTCTTAACTCTCATGCTGGATTAAAGAAGCTTGACGACTATCTTCTCATTCGCGGTTACGTAAGTTGTCTACATATTAATTATTATAATAAGAATAGATCATAAATCTCTTGAGTTTTTTCAAACAATAAAAGTAACAACTAGTTTCCTCTTTGTCTATGTTTTACAGTTACAAAGCTGCAAAAGATGATCTCACCATCTTTGGGACTCTTGCAACTCCCCCATCTTCAAAGTATGTGAACTTATCTTGCTGGTACAACCACATTGTTGCCCTCTTGAGTACCTGGTAAGCTCTTATCATTGTCTTGTATTGTTTATCAGATGTTCTTGTTTGGATTCTTCTAATAGTTTTATTTCCTTATAACTTGTGTCTCTCTGTTTATAGTGGTGTCTTTGATGAATTAACTGGTGTCATTAAGAGATCACCCCGAGTCACAGAAGGGGCCCTTACTACTGATTCTAGGGTACTCTATTATTGTTTCTATTTATTTTTGTTATAATGTCTTTTTTTCTATATTTTATATATCAAGGAGACTGATAGATATGTGCATAATTGTAGGATGTTGATTTCGGAGAGGAGACGGAAGAGGAAAAGAAGGCAGCTGAAGAAAGAGCAGTTTTTGTGAAGGCATCTACAAAGAAGAAGGAATGTAAGTTTGGTGTTGACTTTATACTTGTGATTTACTTAAGGTGATGATGTGTCTTACTTTCTAATTGGTTTATGTTTATTTTCCATTATTAGCTGGGAAGTCATCAGTTTTGATTGATATCAAGCCATGGGATGACGAGACTGACATGAAGAAGCTAGATGAAGCTGTGAGATCCATCCAGATGGAAGGACTATTCTAGGGTGCATCAAAGCTTGTTCCAGTTGGTTACGGTATCAAGAAGTTGCAGATCATGTGCACCATTGTTGACGACCTTGTGTCTGTTGACACCATGATCGAAGAGCAGCTCACGGTCGAACCTATCAATGAGTACGTCCAGAGTTGCGACATTGTTGCCTTTAACAAGATTTGAAAGAAGTTTCTGTGTGTGTTTTGCAGTCTGGTTCTTATTATACATTTTAGTTTTGCCAAGTTTCTTGTAGACTACTATTGCTTTTGCATTATTTTTCAACTAGGTGATTTTCCCGTGCTTATGCACGGGCTTAAATATTTAAGAAATAAATATATTATAATAATTGATTGATATTTACTTTAAATTTTATATTAATTTATAGTTTGTATGTATAATTTGTAATAATAATATTATATATTTTAGTTATTATAATTTTATATATATTATATTTAGTCAGTATTATCATTTGGATATATATATATATATATATATATATATATATATATATATATATATATATATATATATATATATTGGATTCTTTCTATTCTATGAATTCAATTATAATCTGTTTTATTCTAAATATCTTAAATTTTTGATTAATTATTTTATTTACACTTATGTTGGTTGTTATCTACGAAATATAAGTATATCTTAATAAGATTATGTATTTTAAGATTTTTTGTGCTTAGAACAAAAAAAATAAAACTAAAGTGTCTGATTCTAAATTACATAAGTAATAATAAATTTTTGAAAGCTTATGAACACATATCAATATTTACTATAATTAAAATATTTTATAAACTCTAAATAATTTATGCCATAGATTGATTGGATGATGAACTGAAATTTTTTTTAAATAATTTAAAAAATAAGGAATTCTGATTTGCTTTATGTAGTAGATTATGGTTATATTAAATTCCACAAACATAAAAACAGAAAATTAAACATCAAAAGAGTTATTAACAAAACAGATAATTTTAACTATTAATTATAATATATCTACCTTGTTAAATTATAGTGTTATGATATATTAAAAGAATTGTAGTTATTTGATCAAAAGATGTTTATTATTAAATTTATTTTTAGTTTTGTTTTTAACATCTATTAAAATATGCAGTAAAAATGTGATTTTTTTTGAGAAATTATATTATATAAGTAAAATATAGTTTATATTTTTTGCTGTAATTTTAAGATATTATAATCAAATAAATATACTAAAAAAATATTTCAATAATACTAATTATAATTTTTTTGTCAATTAAACATATATCAGTTTATGTTACTTAATTATTTTATGTAATAATCTAACAAAATAGATAGATATATCAAAAAATAATTAATTTGAAAATATATATTTTATTGTTTAAATTATTTTTAAAGAAAAATATTTCTTTTCTAATATCAAGATTATTTGTATGAACTTTTTTAATGAAAACACTTTATATACAAATATTTTTTTCATCTAAGAAGATATAGATATAACGTATTTTATTACTTAAAAGTATAATTTATGTTATTTAAAAATATATTTAAGTTAAATATTACTATTTTGTAAACTTTCCTTTTTTATGAAACCATATTATATATATACTTATTTTTCGTTTTAAATAGTTTTGTAAATTTTATAATTATTTCCTTTTTATTTATATTGCTATTTGGAAGATTTTAAAAAGGAAATAATAATATTTAAATATATTTTTAATTCATTAGGGGTATCATAGTAATCAATCAGCGTGAGAGTTAACGTGAGCGCGACACCTAAGAAAGTGACTTCTCAAATAATATTATAGAGATTTTCATGAAGAACGACAATCCTGGTTTCAACTTGCCATCTTATCTCAAATACAAGTTGTTTACTATACTACATATCAAGGTTCTTTTCTTTCTATCAATCAGTATAAAAAAATTAAAACGATTTCTTAAAATCTGAATTAAATAGTTCAAATCAGTTATATTATTTTAATCCGGTTTAATTTGATCTAAATTAGTCTAAATCAATATACATTGATTAAAGGAAAGAACACCAAAATAATTTATAACTGATTTTATTATTCTAATTTTATGGTCAATTTATTTATAAACAAGTGATTATCTTTTTCTATCCAATTTCAATTTTGTAAAAGTATATCTATTTTTTTAATGTTTCATCAAAGTAATTTCCTAACTAAACACAAACTCTTTAATATAATATAAATAAATATGAATTATATAGTAAATAAATAAATAATTTGTTAACGTTTAGACTCCGAATAATTCGCATTCTATAGAGTGTATACTGCCTGGCGATTTTTTAAATATATATATTCTAAGGAAGAAACAAACTTTGTGTTCCAAAAAAAAAAACTTATCTTAAAGGTGTTTGATGCCTCTGAGCCTATTCCCTGATTCTAAATTTTCCATCTTCCTCGGGATCTTGGGTAGATGGTGTGTTTGAGGTGAAGCAACTTCCTTCAAGAAGAAGGGCCACTTAGCCCTGGATTCCCTTCAATAATTTGAGATAGAAGAAAAGAGTTAAGTCAATAGGGTGACTTTATTCCCTTCAATAATCTGCTCCAAAAATGGCTTTTCCCAAGGTGTAAAATTTTTGAGTTAGACCAAGAAATCTTAAAGGTTATTTCAAATGAACCAGTGAGGAGAGATTGTCATTCAAATCAAGATAGACGAGAAGAAAAGAAGAAATGTCTCTACAGAAAGGTTGAAGGTTCTGTAAAGATGTGACTAGACTACCAGTGAGCTTGTTGAGTGAAAGGTAGCTTGCAAGCAGACGAATTCACGACTCTTAAGAAAATATGAATTATATGGTTCAAAAGTAAAGAAAATCATTATCAAAACTTAAACTCATACAAAAATAAAGACGAGATTCTCGCATAAGACAGATTTGTGAACTCTTGCATTTAAGATTCAATATCAGAATCAGAAGAGAGATAATCATCTGCCTTAAGACTCGGAATAGAATCATCATCTGATTCATCCAAGGACTCTCGCTTCTTACCGTCTACTGCTTCCTCCATGAGACTATCCTTAACTGATAAACCCTCTCTTTCTTGAGTCCCACTCACTACTTCTGGATTCACTTCTTCCGGAGCCATGTCATCTTTGTCCGAAACATGTCCTAGAGATTCCTTTGGTGATTTAAGGACGTTCATAGGCACATCAGCTTGTTGAACATTCTCTGATCCAATAATATCTGTATGATCTTGGCCACTCAGAGATACCACAGTAGCTAAATCGTCCCCACGTTTCAATCTTTTAGCCTCTTGGAGAGGTAAAGTAGAGTCTACGGTTCTCTGAATCTCGTTGTTGTTAGAGGGAACATCCACGTTTGCCGACCATTCCTTCACTAGATCATCGCCATAGCGAGCAAAACCATTATTCAGATTAGGTGTGCTGTGTTTTAGAGAATCGCTTTGCGGGAATTGGTCGCTAAGTGATGGGAGACCGTCGAGTGGAAGTGCCCTGGGATGTATAACAGCTTCAAGGGACATGAGAGCGTGAGCACAGAATCCAGCAACTTCCATCTTTCCCTGAGACTTACCTGTTCAATGTCCGTACATGCATCATCAAAAATTTACAGTTTCTTAAACTTAGTTTTCACTCATCATGACAACATTTAGCTACCTGTTTGGAAAAGCTCAAGCCCTTCAGCTAAGAACGCAGGGCGTGCTCGTGATGGAGAAACAAGGGATGCCAAAAAGGCTCGGAGTGCTGCAACCTGAAACTCAACCAGATCCGCAGTGGACTTATTGGTTACGTGATGGTAGGTTTCAGCATTGGTCCATCTTCCTTCACAAGCATTTCTCGCTGTCATCATTAGAAGCTTATCCACACGTTCTCTCCAGCTATTCGATCTCAATGCACCACCCTGAAACCCGAAAGAGAAGAAGATATATAGTGAATAAAACTAGCTAGGATTCAAGTAACTACACCACAGAGTTAAACTTCTTACTAAGTTTTTCAATAGTAATAGGTTAAAAGAGCTTACAGTTGTGAGAAGAGTTTCTAGTGCCTCCAGAGCTGCTATCTTCAATGAAATAGGGCTGCTCGAGTGACTGTGAGGAACTCCCACTTCAAAAGCAGCGTTTTCTGCCTCGACTCCTGAATTAGTTGAATGCTTTCTTTTTTTACTGCAAGGTTTGAGAATTGTGGTGGAAACCACATCAGATCCTTCTACACGTGTCGGGTCTAGATCCACAGAGGCATTAGAGACAATTTCTTCTGCCAGTTGCATTGCCATGCCTGTTCAGAGAATTATGTCAAGCAGAAATGATACATTATTTTCATGAAAATGCAAGCAAAGGGAAGGAAGATCTTGTGAAATTACCTAAACCCATGGATTTGAGTAAGGTTTTAGTGATTGTGTATAGCTTTATCCTCAATTCTGGCAATAAACATTTCTTGAAGTAACTACTAACAAGTCTCACAACAAATGCAGCATATGGTAGAAGTTGGCTGCAAAATTGAATCAACACAAGGATCTTGTTTTAGTTCCCTACGGCACAGAACATTTATATATATAGTTTTGGCTAATAGATGTAATATACTAGACTTGGCTACTAGAGAGAATGAAAAAGAGACCGTTTTACCTGCGGATACTCTTTATGGTAGCACACAAGAGTTCCAGAGCCGAAGAATGCAAAGTCGGAAGTTCTGCACAAACAAATTCTTGTTGGATCCCTGTCATGAAAGGTGACATGGCTTTTGGTAGAGAGCCGTTCACCGCCAGCACTCGCTCAACGAGGGATAACAATGAGCCAACTGGAATATTAAGCTGAAGGTTGAAAGAAAGACGATTAGAATCTTTCACAAGCAAATATTCATGATTGAATTACATTGTAGCACACATCAAGAGAGCATCCTAAATGATCTAACAGAAAGAAAAAAAAAAGGAAGAAACCGCACTACCTTGCATTTGTACGAGCTAGTTAGCATAACTGAGCTACAGTACATAAGTGCAGAAACTCTGGATACAATCAACTGTTCAGAGTTCCACGCTGCATCATCCAAACTCCCATTTTGACCTCCCAAGGGCAAAGGAGCGTCTTTTCCGGGAGGAGCCAATCTTTGGATTGCTTTTTTTCCTATATTTTCTGCAAGACATCTCACAGTGTTCTATCAGAGAAACTATAGCCACAAACAAACTAAAAAAGAACAAGGAAATTAACGAATTACCTTCTTCTAGACCTTGGAAAAAATTATTCAAATGTACATTTATGGATATCAACAGCTTCTGCATCATCAAGGACCAGCTGGTCGTATCTCCTTTATTAGCTTTGGGGAGCAATGCTAGAAAGTGGGCAAATCTCTGAATAGAAAGAAAGAAGTGGCCACTGTTAATATTCCTTGCTTTGTTGATGGAAAATAATGAATCAGACAATGTGTAAAACGATGAATACCTTTAACATTATAGAACTTGTTTTCGCAGAAAATATTTTAGAGGCAATAACTTCTTCCACCTGCAAGGAATATCATTTCAAATAAACTCATTACAACAGTCATACAATACCAAATCACCAGATAGAAAAATGAGAAGCCCAGAGAGCCCACCTTGTCATAACTACTGTGGAAGGCAGCAGGAAACAAGATAACAATTGTACTCAGTAGACGGACAATGCCTTCCTGCACATCCAATACCAATCCAAGAAAATTCAAATAGAGGATTCTAGCAATGACATGATCAGAATCGAAAGATGCTAAAAAGGAGAATCTCAAGGCTTTTAAAATACAGCACTTACCCATAGTGCTTCGGAAGAATCTTCTTCCAATAGTTTAATGATTGGCAAGATTACTTTGGCAGCGTGTGAAACCGCATCTTTCTTAGTATTTGCAAATCTAGACAACCTGATTACATTACATACATAACCTCTCCAGTGTAAATAATTACATGTTTCTAATCAAACTATCATAGAAGAAAAAAACATCTTTCTTACAGACCTTGTAAGGAGATCAGAGACTGAAGTACATGAAGCCACTCGAACAATTCTAGAACTTTCTGGATCCTGCTTGAAACAAATACAAGAAACCATCACAAGATTGAACAAAAAAACTCACCATAGAGAGCGAGCCATACACATACCTTAATATGTGACAGCAAACTATTGAACCAAACAGAGTAGGAACTAAAGAAACGGTCCGAGCTGCATTCTTGACAAGTCACTCCAATCAAAACAATACCCACCCAGGATTTATCTGGCTATAGCAATTACAAAAAAAAAAAAAAAAAAACTCAAACATCGTTTTAAACACCAAAAGTCCCAAACTTTATCTTTCAATTACTGTTTTAAGACAGATTCTGTACCATGTCTGAAGAAACCAGAGCGAACAACCTCTCAACCCATTCATCAACGGCTGATTTAGACTTAGCTTGAAGCTTCTGGTCCTCAGATAAGAGCTTGTGAGTGGAGATGGAAGATACAACCTTGGAGAGTGATTGGAAGTTGACGAGAGGCTGCTTCTCGTTGGGGACATATTCGGACAGAAGGTTTCTGAGAATCTTAGGCTTTAGTCTCAAGTCACACATGTCGTCAAAACGCTCAAACGACGCCATTGAAGGAGTGAGAGAGAGAGAGAGAGAGAGAGAGAGAGAGAGAGAGAGGGGAGAAAGGGTTTAGGGAGATTAGGGTTTTGGAACTGAAGCGGCTTCAGTTTGCCGTCTTGTAGCGGCTGTTAATTGGTCGGCAATTTTTGAAGACTCGACATAAATATTTTTTTTCTTAAAAGGCAAAATGCGAATAAAACCCTAAACTATAGTAAAATAGCAAGATAGGCCAGAATCTGTTAAAAAACACACACAAAATACCCTAAATAGGCCTGGGCGTAAATACCCGTAACCGAAAACCGAACCTTATATCGACCTGAAATAAGGTTCTGGATCGAGTACGGGTTATCGGGTCGGTTCGGGATTGAACCACAATCTAATTATAAAACCGTAGTTAACCGAGACCATTTATTAAGCTGACAAAAAAGAGGTTTCATTTAGTGGAGATTCTTCGTTTTCTCCGAACCCGTGGTGGCGAACCCTAGTTCCAATACCGAACCTCCTCGATTCAATCTGAAGCTTCTGCGTAATCGATGAAGATGGCCACTATATATAACCTTACCTCTCATCCTTTCAATTCATCTGAGCCTTCTGTCTTATCTACGACTTATTCAGAGGTTAGCCTTTGTAATCGAAAGCTTCCTTTTTTGATCTATTAGGTTTCGATGTTTGGTTTATACATCGATTGGTTTCTATATATATTTTTATCGCATTGTTTGATTGTTTTGAAGATCACTTTCACATTATCAAAGTCTTTGTAGTGATAATACTTTCTGATTGTCAAAGTATACGCTTGTTAGTACAATATGATTGTCAAAGTCTTTGTTGATCGCTTTGTTGTATATAATACTGTCTGATATGATTCTTTATTGTCGCAGATGGATTCAAAATTTTCTGTTGATCGTGATACAAGTTCTAAATAAAATGAGAGTGAGTTCAAAAATCAAGACAACACTAACATTACAGACCCTGGTGCAACTTCAGGGAAGAGGAAATAGACTCCACAATCTACTGTTGCAAGTTCTCAGCCGAGTTCAGGGTCCCTAAATTTAACTAGAAATTAGATTTTGACCTGTGCGTCATTTTTCAAAAATATATCGTTACTTTTTATGTCATTATAATATATCATATATATGTCATCATATAATTAAATCATATTTTATACATATTATCATATAAATAATCATATAACTAATAGTATTTTATACGTACCATCATATAAATTAGTGCTGAATTTGCGGATCGACCACCCCGCTGTGTGTTGAATCACTTTTTTTTGATTAAAAACTTTGATCCAGTTGACTGACAAGTAGAAAAAATTATACTTGCACCCACCTCGTTTAAATTTATTGATAACCCACAAGATCCAAAGATAACCTTAAAATATATTATTTTTATTTTTAAAACTAAAATAATATATATTAATTATTTTCTATATTCGTAATTTTAATCATCATAAAAAAATAAAATCATTTAAAAATAATCTTAAAAAAAATATTTTCGGGTTGGCGGGTATCCGTAATTTAAATTCGACCAATCCACACCTACTCTACATAAAATATACTAAACCCGCACCCACACCCGCCTCACATATTTTTCAAACCTGTTGATCTCCACCCGCCTTGCAGTGGGTTAAACAAGGCGGGTCCATGGATAAAGAGTCAAATTCACAAGCTTAATATAAATAATCACATATATTATATTGAAAAAACTAAATATGAAATAGAAAAACCACAATATAAATTGGTGTTTGAAATTGGGCTTTGTATTATATTTTCTTATATACGTTGAAAACCTTTTTTTATAATTGCTATTGAAATATATTTTAGTAAATATCAATTTTTGAATATATGTATATTTTAGAATTAAATTTTGATCTAAATTAATTTTAAATTATTCTTTAGATTTGAAATATGTATATAAACTTTAAATTTTGTATTATGATTATTTTAAGAAAAATATGTTTTTAGATAATTAGACTGGCCCATTTTGTTATATTGTAAAGATGGTCCGAATAGATAGTTTTTAATAGGACTTTCAATTTTTCTTAATAATTAAACCCTTTTTTAGTATACCGCAATCCATGTTTTCAAACAACAATATATTATTTCATATGACTTTCAATTTTTCTTAATAACTAAACCCATTTTTTTAATATACTGTAATTCATTTTGTCAAACAACAATATATTCTTTTCATTAACTATTACCATGTTTCCAAACAAATATCAAATGTACTTCATTTTTAATAATATAGATAAAATAGTCTAGGCCAATTTCTCCATCAAAATTCAAAAGTTTTCTGGAAGAGTGTGCACGTAGCATCACTCCCCAGATGAATCAGAGGTTATTTAGGATTGCAATATAGGATGAAGTACAACATATTTTGTTTATAATGCATCCAAAAAATTCATGAACCGGATTGAATAACACCATTTTATTTCAAAACTCTTGGTATATATAATAAAAATGGATCTATTGAAAATGGTCAATAAATTCTTGATCTCAGGAAAGCTAAATCAAGGTTAAACATGACAAGTATTTTCTTGATTCCTATAATGGAGAGCCTATACTTATCTCAAAAACACAGTCGACATTTGTGGCTGGAAGATTGATTTCTAGAAATATTCTTATAGTCCAGGCGATATGACCATCAAAACAGATATGAGTAAAGCGTAAGATATGATTGAATAGACTTTATTCAGGTGCTACTCAACAAAATGGGTTTTGACCATCATTGGATCCAAGTAATGATGGAATGTATTTCATCGATTTAATACAGAGTATCATTGAACGGCCAGCCAAAGCATTAATTATCTGCACCAGAGCATTAATTATCAATATTAAAAAGACTGAGAGACAGAAACAACTGGCATACATAAATGTTGTAAGTGTTGTAAAGAATGATGAAATCTATGTCTTATTATTGCTTATGAGGTTCCATATATATATATATTGATTACAAGAATAAGATAAATAGAAAACATCCAATTCCTAAAGTACAAGGAATTGGAAATACACATAAATGGTAAAGTACCCAGCCGCCTATTACTAATGGGTCACACGGCCTTGGGCCAATACTAATCTATCTAATGGTTATGGCCCATCCACTTAATACTTTATAACACTCCCCCTTGGATGCCATAACCGTATGGACTTGTACCATGCTTAATGTTGCCTCGTTAAAACCTTCTCTAGGAAAACCAAAAACCCAAGGTGGGAAAAATGGAAACCTTAGACAAGGAAAAAGAGTACAACACATGATACTCCCCTTGATGAATGCATCACTGAAAATGGCTCAGTGAACGCATCCCAATCTGGTACACGAACTTCTTGAATGTCTTGGTCGGTAAGGACTTGGTGAACATGTCGGCCAAGTTGTTGCTGGACTGGACCCGGACCACTCGGACTTCATTGGCCTTCTGCAGGTCGTGGGTGAAGAAAAACTTGGGCAAGACATGCTTCGTTCTGTCTCCTTTGATGTAACCTTCCTTGAGCTGATGTATGCAGGCTGCATTGTCTTCATAGATCACGGTTGGCTCGTCCTTCCCAAAACTCAAACCACTACTCACTCGGATATGGTTGGTCATGTTCCTCAACCATACAAGTTCTGTACTAGCCTCGTACATGGCTATGATCTCAGCATGATTAGAAGATGTGGCCACGAGTGTCTGCTTCTTGGAACGCCAATAGAATGCTGCACCACCGTACATATAGATGTAGCCGGTCTGAGATCTAGCCTGGTGCGGGTCAGACAAGTACCCGGCATCCGTGTACCCGACCAAACTCTCCTTTGGTCGATACGAGTAGAACAAACCAAGGTCCTTGGTTCCTTGCAAATATCTGAACAAGTGTTTCACACCGTTCCAATGCCTTAAAGTCGGACAGGAGCTAAATCTAGCAAGTAGATTCACAGCAAAACAAATGTCTGGTCTAGTGTGGCTAGCCAAGTACATTACAGCTCCAATAGCACTAAGGTAAGGCACCTCCGGACCCAGTACGGCCTCATCCTTCTCCTTTGGTCTGAACGGATCAGTCTTCAGGTCTAAGGACCTCACGACAATAGGACTAGACAATGGATAGGCCTGGTCCATATTAAACTTCTTGAGTATCTTTTCTGTATATGTTTTCTGATGCACAAGGATACCATCTTTTATATACTCAAGCTGCAAACCAAAACAAAACTTGGTCTTACCAAGATCTTTCATCTCAAATTCTTTCTTTAAATACTCAACTGTTTGGGCAATCTCTCCAGGGGTTCCAAGTATATTCAGGTCGTCCACATATACTGATATAATGACAAAACCTTTGTTGTCAAACTTCTTTATAAAAATACATGGACTTATTGGATCATTCTTATAGCCCTCTTTGACTAGGTACTCGGATAACCTGTTGTACCACATACGACCTGATTGCTTTAAACCATATAAAGCCTTATTCAATCTTATGCAATATTGTTCTCGAGAACACTTCTTATCTTTGAGCTCAATACCATCTGGAACTTTCATATAAATCTCATTATCCAGTGGACCATAAAGGTATGCTGTAACTACATCCATCAGGCGTAAATCCAAGCCTTCTTGTACGGCCAGACTAATCAAATATCTCAACGTAGTTGCATCCACCACAGGGGAATAAGTTTCCTCATAATCTATTCCTGGTCTTTGTGAGAATCCTTGTGCAACAAGCCGTGCTTTATATCTCACTACTTCTCCATTCTCATTTCTCTTCCTTACAAAGACCCACTTATGTCCAACTGGTTTGACATCTTTAGGTGTCTTAATAATAGGGCCAAAAACGCCTCTCTTTCTTAATGAATTCAACTCCACGTTTATGGCTTCTTTCCATTTGATCCAATCTGATCTCTGCATGCATTCATACATAGACGTGGGTTCTGATCCTCATGTGTTTCCATGATCTCAAGTGCTACATTGTATGAAAATATGTCATCGAGCTCGATTTCTCTTCGACTCCATTTTGTTCCAGACATGACATAGTTTATTGAGATCTCATCATTGTCATAACCATGTGCACTATGAGGTTCAGCGTCCCGAACCACG